TTCCAATACCAGGCGACTGCACTATGTTCTACACTTGCGAGACAAACGACCATAGCATTTTTTTTCAAAATATTTATAGGTGTCCAAGAAACATGATCTATAATCAAGAAACAGAAATATGCAGTCTTTTTTCAATTTGTAAAGACAGGACATTAAGTGCACTTCTATCACAATGTGTGCCTAACTCAGGAAGAAACATGAGTCAGTTACAAAATGGAGAACAAATGGAGGAAATTCAGAAATCAAGTACTAATACATCTTCAATTTGTGAAACAACCCCATCTTTTGATGTTACGTCTCCGACCGATTCTACTATTGAAGAGGTACCTCCTTCATTCGTGAAAGATGGCAATAATATTAACAGTACAAATTCGACGCAAGATACTTCGGATATAAGCACGCTAAATACGATAGACTCTACTACCTATTCAAGTATAGATGAGTCTACAGCTTCTGAAGAAATGAGTACATCTACAGAAATGGAAACTACTGAAACAACAATAATGATGTCCAGTTTGGGAGAGCCAGTAAGTCAAAGTGAAGAATATACTACAGCTGAAGCAAGTACTATGGATTCAGCAAGTACTACATATTCAACAACAAGTATGGATCAACTGACCTCTTCAGAAGAAACAAGTTCTTCTCCTGCAATAGGAGCAAGTGAACCATCCCTGCAAACTTCTACTTCTGATGGATCACTATTGAATGAAGAAAATAGTACAAGTGAAACAAGTACTATATATTCAACAAGTGTAGATGAAGTGACCTCTTCAGAAGAAACAAGTACATCTACTGAAATAGGGACAACTGAACAACCATTGCAGACTTCTACTTTACTAGGATCACTTTTACATGAACAAACAAGTACAACCGAAGCAAGTACTAGATATTCAACAACAAGTGAAGATCAAGTGATCTCTTCAGAGGGAACAAGTTCTTCTCCTGAAATAGGTGCAAGTGAACCATCCGTGCAAACTTCTACTTCTGATGAATCACCACTGAATGATCAAGATAGTACAACTGAAGCAAGTACTACATACTCAACATCAAATGTAGATGATACTACACCTTCCAATGACATAAGTACATCTACTGAAATGGGGACGACTGAAGGAGGTATAAAATCTGCTGTTCCAAAAGAGTTAAATGGTGCAAATAAAACAACTACCGAAACTGGGACAACTGATGCTACGTCAACAATTTCGTTGCTTGATACGTCGACATCTGTGTCTCCCGAGCCTAGGAATGCAAAGATTATTACCGAACCTCCTGGGCTAGTAGGTGGTGCATTGCCTTCTTTAATTAAATCATCGACTTCTACAGAACAAACAACTTTGAATGATGTAACAACACGTGAAACGACTGTTTCCACTAGTGTAAATGATGAACCTTCTACCCTAAGTCATACTACATCAACTGAAAGTAACGTTGAAGATACTAGGCAAACTTCTACTCTACCACCACATCAGTCGAATGTTGATGAAGACGCAAGTTCTACTACTCGTCCCACAAATTTACCAGCGGCAAACGAACCGTCACGTTTATCAGATTCTACATTGAACTCAAATTCTTCTAGCAGAGAAGTAAATTTGAAGACATGTCAGACACTGTTACAGCAGCAAGATCTACTGTCAAAACAAAATGAAAATGTTCCAGGAAGACAAAACGTAACTGAATCGCAAGCAATGAATCCTAGGCAAACAATATCATCACAGATTGCAGTGCCTCTAACGTCAGCACTATTAAATATCACGGACATATTTGAGCAACGAATGAGAGATATTTTTTGCAGGATGTCTAAACTTTGTCCATAGAAAATGCAGAAATAAAAGACAAAAATAGATGTAAGGGTATAAATAAATACATGACATGTGTTTAAAAATATTATAAATATATCTATATATATATTTAAATCTGAGGTAGTCCAACGCACATTCCCAAAAATTTACACTAGACTATATGTACTATTGTTACATAATAAACATTATGTATTTTAAATACTAATTCCAGTGATTGAATTATGTTTTAGAACTTCACTAAAATTATGTATTTTCTTTTTCTTGTTCGTTTACTAAAGTATAATATGCACCCCCCTTCTTTATTAACTCTGTATGAGTACCCATCTGAAAGCGTAAGTTATAATAATAAATATATGAATGTAAACCATCGTATCGAAGTTTTCATTTGAATATCTACCTCTACAATAACCCCTTTTTGTAATACGACAATGATGTCGGCAGCTTTAATTGTACTTAATCTATGAGCAATTACTAATACTGTTCTGCCCCGTGTAGCATCCTCCAGTGCCTTTTGAACGATTCTTTCACTTTTATAATCTAATGCACTAAAGTCGAACGTACACATTTATGAAAAATATTAAAACAATAATTCGAAAAATGAAATATATCATTCTTACCTAGTAGCTTCGTCCAAAATCAAAATGGATGGTCGTTTGAGTAAAGCTCTAGCAATCGCAATTCGTTGCTTTTGTCCACCGGAAAGTTGCGCTCCTCTTTCACCTACCTGTGTTTCATATTTATTTGGGAATTTCATGATAAACTCATGTGCATTTGCTTCTTTTGCCGCTTCAATAACCTAACAGTATCGAACGATAAATTCAACGAACATAACCTATATGGAATATCAAGTCAATAGTACTCACGTCTGCATCTGTGGCATCCTGTTTTCCATACCTTATATTTTCTAAAATGCTTGTAGCAAATAAAATAGGTTCTTGGTCAATATAACCTAAAACGTTACCTCGAAGATAACCAGCGTTGAGCGACCTAACATCTTTACCGTCAATTGTGATTGAACCCTCGTCAACATCGTAAAATCTAAAATGCATTAAGGTACTTATTAAAACAGATCGTAACATAAGAAAAAAGAAGGGAAACTTACCTTTCTAGTAATGCGGCTATCGTTGATTTACCGTTACCGCTGGATCCAACAATAGCTACTGTTTTCCCAGCAGGAATGTTTAAAGTAAAGCTCTTTAAAATAATATGATCTGGCCTAGTAGGATAGCTAAACTTTACATTATTAAAAGATATATTTCCTGCAGGAGACTGGTCGGTAATAATTTCCCCAGTGACCATCATTGGTGAAGGTGGCATATCCAAATACTGTAGCAATAAATTATAAGATATCAAGAAACTGTTCGAAATAATACTTATTGTGTTAATTATAATCAAATGTGTACCTCAAAAACTCTTGCACCAGCACTAATACCCCTGACGTAATTTCCAAATAATAATGACAATTGTGATAGAGAGCGTTGTATGGTTTGTGTGGCCATTAAAAATGCCATCAATTCCCCTGGAGTCAGTTGTCCAGTGGACAGTAAATGTCCACCAAAATATAATGTACAAAGTAAAATACCATTGAGAAATAGATTTGTTCCCCCTTGGAACAAACCTATTCCAAAACCTAATTTTTCATATAAGTTAGACCCTGCTTCAACTTCTTTAGAAAACATTTCTACTTCTTTCTCTTCTGCTGCAAAAGCCTTCACCTACATACAAAATTTGTATAATGTTGTATATTTTGCTGTATAAAAAAAATTAGTCAATTATCAAGTATTACAATACCGTTCTGATGTTTTGTATAGCTTCTTCACAAACAGCAGTAGATTTAGCAATTTGATCTTGAGCCTTTATTGATAAGTGTCTTAAACTTCTTCCAAGTAAGGTACCAATAAAAATTATAGCTGGTATAGAAAACACCATTGCAGCAGTTAGTTCTGGTGAAATCACTATTACAGAAACTATACATCCAATAATTTGTGTGGAACTTCTTAAGCCTTGTGATATGCATGTCTTAAAGGTGCTTTTAAAATCTTGAATATCACTAGTTAACCGACTGACTATTTCACCACTGCGATTTTTATCAAAAAACGTGATATCTTGCATGATTATTGATTTAAATAAATCTTGTCTTAAATTCATTGCTATCCTTTCACCCACATGAGAAAGTGTATAGATGTACACAAATGTAAACAGTGCCTAAGGACAATAGCTAATTTTCTCTAAACTTTCTAAATTGTTAATCACTTATAAAATAATTAATTACGTACTTGCGCAATATACATATGTCCTAATGCAACTGCAGGCTTTGTAAGTTGTGAAAGCACACGATACACAGTGTTTGTTCCTTGATTTTGACAAACCTTGGTTAGTACATTTATAATATCACCCACACATTGGGGAATCCAAATATTTAATACAGCAACAATCAATGCACTCTAAAGATTATAAATAAAAGTATATAGAGTGCAATATTGTTGTGATTTTGGAAAAATATATACTTACAGATAAAGCTATCAATAATTGCCATAAATATGGATATAAATATTGTAAAAACTTTTTCCATTTAAATTCTAATTGTTTGTCAGTAATACTATCCTTTGGAACTTTAATTGCTTTACATTCTACAATAGAACTATGCGATTTTAGTATACAAGTTGTCACGATACCCAAACCACCGAAACCAAATTTTAAAATAGATGGAAAAGTCTTAGGTTTGGTGTTGTTATGTACACATTCTTTGACATTAGAATTAAATCTTCTCTTTGCTACATCAAATGACTTGCTTCTTTGTTTCAATAAAAGTGTAAACAACGAGTTTCTGTAATATCAAATTTGATTGTTTACTATGATATGAGTGACAGTCTTTAAAAAATGCAATACGATCGAAATAAGAAATTGTCAGCAATCGGAAACGATACCTTGGACTAGTATAATTGTTATAATTAAATAACACAGTTCTTAGTATGCACATTTTTGAAAAATAATATATCACTGGTTAAATATTCTGTACATCTAAATTGATATAAATTATTATCTACAGTACGAGTAAGTCATCTTAGCGGAATAAACTACTTTTTTTAGTTTTGCTAATTGTTAGGGAAGTCATTATTATACGGTATATTTATGAAATAAGCAGTGACGTGAAATTGAACAAGGTTAGCTAATATATGTCCAAGGGTAGCGCCATTTTACATACATATATAACCTTTGTTCTCTCATTCACCGGTAGATAGCACTCCCTGTCCTATTTCATTTAATATCTTTTTCTTTTGTCACTGTTCTTTAGAAAATGGAGGGAAAGTGGATAATAATTACAGTGTCAAGAGTTAAAAGCATTAAAAGTGGTACAAAAAGTGACGATTAGCTTCTAATCGAGAGTAAACCTGAAAGAAGACTCTCTGCAACGCACGAACAAACATTCTTTTATTTCGAACACCTTATGGCCACTTCACAGGAAAGAAGGTAATACGACAAGTAACTTTGTATACTAACTAAACTTGAAATGATGAAATGATAATTAATGTTCGATCGTTATTCTTTTTGAAATATTTACATTATGCCATGCGTATTGTATTGTATTGTTCCTTGCCGTGAGTACTTTACTGATAAATATCGTTAATAATAAACGTGACAGTTACGTAAACAATTGTGCGCTGAGCAAACTTTTAGAGACAGGGTTTCGCGCCAAATTAATTTTTATATGTTTTAAATATCTTTTGGTATCTTTAACGATACATACAGTGGGTGTAGAATGTATTCGTACACCGATCAATTTCCCAAAAAACTTTTGTGTGAAATTGTAGTTTTCTTAATTTCTTTTTTTATAATCAATGATATTTTACATATTCTCGGAAATTTTTAAGATAGATATAGTCCAAACAACGTTTACTAGTTAATATAATTTGTGAAATTAATAAAAAAATTGCGAAAAGTGGGTAAAAATATAGAAGCAATAAGTATTTGTACGATTCTTACAACGAGCCATTTACTGTAGAGTTTGTAACGTAAACACATTAGTTTATTGCTTAATTTCGCAATTTACATAAATAGCTTTTTTTTTTTGTACTCTATCTATTCTAGAGATTTCCGAGAATATGTAGAATGTCATTACTTATAAAAAATAAGTTAATAAATTACAATTTTACATAGTTTTTTTGGAAATTGATCAGTGTACGAATACTTTCTACACCCCCTGTATGCCAGTGGTGTGAACTATTATGTATATTCTTTTCATCTTTGTCTAATTGTTATTAATTTCGACCCGAAAAGAGAGTATAACGTTGTACCCAATACATCGTATTGGTTAGATGTAAACTATGTACGTTATGGATCTTGTACACAATATTTCCACGTCCCTTTGCCCTCTTACAAGTAAATATTTATATTGGCTACGCGCTGAGAGCTTCAGTGCTGACTGTAGTTTACAAAACGGACCAGGTGACGTTTAACTTCGCGAATATTGTCAAGTCAAAATGGTTTCTCGGCGAACGCGTGTTTATCTTTTGCGCGAGTTGAAAGCTGCAAACATTAATCACGTTTCGACGGATTCAAAGACAGAAAATTCACCGAATTAGGAATCGAGGGGTCTGTCATTCGTTGACCGCAAATTTACAAGGGTTAATGAAAATTTCACCAAGGAGAAATTATTTATTCCTAGGTTGAATGATGTTTGACTAATGCACTTTCTATTTTTAGGTTTAGTAGGACTATTTGATCTTAATGGCTGGTGTTTTGGTAAGGACAATAAATGTTTTGTTATAAAATTGTAATTGATTCGACTTGATGATTGTAATTGTTTGGGTCGTTATGTGTTATGGACTTGTAAAATTCATAAATTTCTTATAGATTTATGAATTTGATCAAAATTTAGACATACTTCAAATAAATTTATAAATTTACAACGCTTGACGTTAGTACACCAGAAGTAATTAGACAAAAAACCAGAAACACCCAATTAGTGCCCTAATTAACAGATACATTTTTTTCTTTTGCGTATTTTTCGTTTACGCTGCCAGATTCGTTTCACAGGACATCTCCAGCGCATAAAAAGATTCTTTGCCAAAATCAAGAGACCAGCGTAATTGCGAAACGTTCGAACGTCGACATCCAACGAGTATAGGAGCAATGGCAGTCTGGTGGTTAGGTGTACAACATATCAAGGTCCCGTGTCATTGCCAGACTCGCGGAGCACTTGAGCGAGTACTTAATACTACCCTCCCTCGTGTATTCAAGGCGGGGGCGAGCATTTCAGGGTGTAATAGCCGCACAGGCAATTAAACGTGGCAAATACATAAATACACGTTATTAACTTTGCGCACAAAGAGGCCTGGGACGATTAGGCCTTTCAAGGCTCAACTGTTCAACCCTAAATCTCCTCTTCTCCGCAACGAGTCGCAATTTCAGAGCTTTTTCATGCGCGGTCGATGCATTACCATGCCTGATCAAAGCTCGTGTTCCTAAGTAACGCCGGAGAACAACAGCCAACCCAGTCATTATCCCTAAGAAAAATCCGTGTGTTTTATCGAGATAAGTCCGAAAGTGGCTCGTTACATCCAGGGCTAACGTCTGAGCACGCTTTTGATTTCAGCGAGCATGGTTTCAAGCGATATGCGCGCCTCGCGAACGTTCTCTCGTCGAGGGGGGGCATTCTTCTCGCGTCGTTAGAAGTTTTTATCGTTCCAATTGATCCATCTTCTTCGTCGACACGTCCCTCTATAGAACGGCGTCGAAACGGGTCAACTCTTATTTCAATAGCTCCGTCGCGACTGGATTTAATTTTCTTTTAGAACGTCCCAGAACGTATCGCAGGTTTCACGATTTTTGCTCGTTAAATTCATGGTCTTTTACTTTTGGTCTGAAGGAGTTGAATTCCTTGCTTCGTCATAGTTTTTTTAATTAAAATAACTACACACATACAGATTTTAAGTGTGCACGCTTCTTTGTTTGTATTATTTGGACTGGCAAGTTGTAGTTTCCAATATTTAATATTTGACTCAATATAGACTTCTTTAACAAACAAGTTGATAGTAGAATTAATTCTGATACAGTTTGTTTGATTAGGTTTGATCAAGTGTAAGGAGCATAACTTAAGAAAATAGATTTCCTCGGTTATAGCATGCAAATATAGTTCCATTGTGATGGTTTATGGAATTGTTTGATGATATTTGACAAGGTTTGACCTGTACCTAACATTCGCCAACAGCCTTCTGAAAAGTTATATGTAGTAACCGCATGCCTAATGGCACGATACCGAAACTTCTGCCAACTATTCCACCCCTGGCCCCAAAACCATCGAATCAACAAGTACCCTCCCCCTAAAAATGGCCGATTTCGATACTCGTCAAATCAACGAAAATTCCTATCGTTTATACCCCCTCTACGCGAGATATACGTAGAGCAGCGCGGCGTTAAAACCGTTCGACAAAAGCCATCGAGGCGAGGTCAGCCTCTTAACCCAGATTCCCAGAAGGCAAGAAGACACTTGCTTCGGCCCGTGTGCATACGGTTCTCGTTTATCGCCGCGCGTCAACGACTCCGGGACGAAAATCCCGGAATCCCTCTAACTGGAAAGCACACGGGATTTCGGGGAAAAAAAAAGAGGCGCGGCTACCTCCAGCCTTCCACCCCCCAGGGTTGAAAGGAAACCAGAAAGAAACAGAAATTCCAGCATAAGCGTAATAACTACGACGGTCTACCGTGATACGCCGACGAAAGAATGGTCCAAATGAAGCCTCCTAACTTTCAACACCCTCTTTCGCCTGTCAGTCGGCTCTCACTCCTCCCCTCTGCTCATTCTCTCTCCAACCTTGCCATCCCTTTGTCTCCTTTCTCTTTTCACCCCGCCCCTCCCCAACCCTCTGGACCCCTCCAGTTTAGATTTCCCTCTCGATCGCTCCAACGCTTCAACCCCCTTTTCTTTCGCCTTCCTTTCCCTCCCGTTTCTGCCGCCTACAACCCCTCGCCGCCGCTCTTCCACCCCATGCCCCCGCAATCAGTCGACAGAGAGTCGAGTCGCGGCGGGCGACGTACCCTCATCCGTGAAACACGCGGTGCAAGTGCCGGGGTGGCGATGACGCAAAGTCAGCGCGGGCCAATGGACTGGCTGGCACAGAGAAGGTGTTCGGTGGGCTACGATTGGGCGTGGCCCGGCCCAGGGGTGCCGTCGACGCCACCGACGCCGACGCGTGGGGGAATGCCGAAGTGTGCCCCGGGGTGTAATATCATACCGCTAGGTGGATAAATAGACGCACGAAACTAGTAGGGACGAGTCGGGGGGTGAACGTAACGAACAGAACAGAGAAAGACGGTTCGACCTGGCTTGGACCAGCTCTCGTAAGGGGGTTCCACAGAGATATGCGAGAGGAGACTGCTTTGGAACAATGAAAACACTTTTTTTACAATTTACAGTAGTAAAGCATGTCAATTTTTGGTTTGGTAGTGTTTTTATTGGAGCTAATTAGTGAAGGGATCTCCCAGGTATTATTTAAGTTCTGCCTTGGAGGGATGGAAATATTTGTTTTTAATTTAGAATAGTAAAGCGTGTGGATTCGGGTTTTTTTTTAAACGTTTTTACTGGAGCTAATTACTGAAGTACTGTATCAGAGTAGCTAGGGAGTTAGAATTATTTTATGAAATGGTCCTGTGATGTTTATTCATTTTTTACTGCCTAAATTGTTCGAATATTTGGAAATGCGAGGCACCATTTCATTATATATTTTTGTCCCCCTCTTCTTTTACTTAACTTACATCCAATAAGGTATACCTCGTTAATTTTTAGGAAAATGAGTATACCCAGATGGAGGGCGTCGAACGGCCTAGGAACGCCCCTGTAAGGGTGAAAGAGTAACCGGAGGACGGACATGGAAACGCGGAACGAAGAGAGAAGAGGGAGAACGGGGTCTGGTAAGGTTGAAGGAGAGCAAGAGAAGGAAATGAGGAAAGGGTCGTGCACCGAGCTAGGGTTACTCAAGGGGGTGGAAAGACGGAGAGGTGAGACAAAGCGTGTTGGAACAGGACGAGGTATATTGTTTGGGAGAGAAGGAAAGGGGAGAGAAAGAGGGAAATTGGGTGGCTACGCGATGCGAGGGAGACTAGACTAGAACAAATAGTGGTTGTAGCCATCCTCAGCTTCTGAGGTATTTTCCACTCGTGCGAGTTGTACGCGTTCGAAGCCGGGCCAGGTTCGCTCAC